CATCATTGTTGCCCTTTGGTCCTTGTACAATTTACAGTCCCAGAAGATATGTTAATCTGTTTGCAGTCTGTCACCACATTCGCATTCAGGCGCGGACAGGACGCAGCATTTCAAAGGAACCTACTGGTTCCATTTTCAGGATAGAAGAGTGGTAGGGCATTGTTTCCATCTCACAAATTTATACTGGCTCACACAGTAGTGGTGTTATTGATTAAAAAAAAATACAAAGATGTGGTGGGTGTTGTTCAAACCAAACCCTATTTTTGTCTATGATTTCTGTATATAAATCATGGGAGAGATAAGCATAGGCAGCTTCTTAAAAGGGTTCTAGGCAGTAACTCTTGGAAATGCTAAAAACATGTAAGTCACAAAAATTCTCAGACAATAGACAAACTAAGTGGTCAGACAAAGCAAGTGGAGTGGAGTGGAGTGGGGTATAATCATAAGTTAAAAGGACCGGTGTCACTATCCCTGTACCAGACTGTGGAGGCCCACAGGGTTGTGAGATGTCGAGGCTGCTACATTTACCTAGACCATCGGCTCACAGATGAGAGTGAGGTTGTCAGCCTCATGCATCAGCTGCTCTTTACCCCCAGTAAGTTTTCTTCTACTCATTTTGATTAGAGGATGAGTCAACCCCAGGGCCACAGTATGGCTGGAAGGATTAGGACAACTAAAAAATTCGATGACCTCATCAGGAATCGAAACTGTGACCTTCCAGCTTGCAGCATAGTGCCTCAACCAAGCTATCATGTGCCCCAGGGTAAAATCGTATCTTCATGAAATTACACAAACACGCTTTAATAATGTGATGTACTGCTATACATCCACAAATACTAATAGGCCAGCATGACAATATCTGAAACTGGAGACTCTATAGAAAGTAATACTATTTGATATTCAGATCAAAAGAGGTGGAATTTTCAAACATTTCACTCAGATTAAAAAACAATAGGCTGGCACTAACAGCATATCAGGAGTTTATTCAAAGGCATGAATTATGGTATGCAACCATCTGCAATAAATAACTCATTTTTTCTTCAAATAAGGATAAAATTCACTACGTATTAATATTATAATGAAATAATTTTGCTATTACTATTGATGTCTTTTCATAGCCTTCTTATTCCAATTTATGGTTCTTTTTACAAATGTAGTCCTATGATTGATATTTCTTTTTATCAATTAATTTTAATTCTTTTTAATTCACATAGTGGGCGGGTGGAGGGGGCACGCGGTAGTATAGTTGGTTGAGGGGCTATGCTACACGCCGGAAGGTCGTGGGTTCAAGTCCCGATGAGGTCATTGGATTTTTTCAATTGACCTAATCCTTCCAGCTGCACTATGGCCCTGGGGTTGACCCAGCCCTCTAACAGAATGAGTACCAGGAGTTAATTAAATAATTTTCCTGGGGAGTAAAGCGCGGCCAGTGTGTAAGGCTGACAACCTTACTGCCATCTTTGAGCCGATTATCTAGATAATGTTGGACCCTCAACGTCTCACAACCCTATGGGCCCTCACAGCCTGTTACAGGGATAGTTTTACTTTTTTTTTTAGTGGGGGGGGGGGTGGAGTCTAGTTGGGTCCACTTGGAAGGACGGCCACTGATTGGCCTGTTGTACCTGTCCCGGGTGATTATGACGGTGGAGAATTTGGTGGAATGAGGATTGCAGGGGAAACCAAAGTATTCGGAGAAAACCTACCCCAGCGCCACTTTGTCCACCACAAATCCCACTTGACCAGACCCGGGTCTGAACTCGGGCCGCCGCGGTGGGAAGCCAGTGACTAACCGCTTGGGCTATGGCGCAGCCTTTTTTATCAATTACAAAAAAAAACATTTCTTCACCTATGATGAATCCTGACACTGCCCCCAATTTTTCCATGCAAATGCTTGTATAGTACTTCAAAATAGGCCACAGCCACCTTCTGCAATTAATTAATTCACCATCATCTTGTCATAGTCGAAATTATTGCCAGTATCATTAAACGAACCAAATATAAATAAATAATATATCATAAGAAGCCAAGATCATGCAGAATGCATTTCTGCTTCATACATTCTCTTGTGAAATACAGTTATTTACTTCCACTAGAAAAGAATTTCACATTTGCCGTACATTATACCATTAACAACTTTAAAGAAAACAAGAAGTCTTCTAGAATCCAAAAGCTTGAAGTAAATGAGGAAACACATGAATTTTCTGAGGATCAGGTGCATTGTCTTATTTTTTGCAGTTAAAGTACAGCACGAGAATTTACAGTTACTGTCAGAGCAGTCTTCTGTTAAGACATGACAGTACACACTAAAAATGTGTATAAGTTTTTGGGTTTACACAGCAGTGATTGTTCAGATTATGGTTTTCTGTGCTGTGACACTATGTAGCTTGTAGGAGAATACTGGTGTTTTAGGGAAATATACTGCTGCTGCACGCGGTAGCGTAGTTGGTTGAGGCACTACGCTACAAGCTGGAAGGTCGCGGGTTCAAGTCCCGATGAGGTCATTGGATTTTTTTTTCTTCAATTGACCTAATCCTTCCAGCCCCACTATGGCTCTGGAGTCGACTCAGCCTTTAACAGAAATGAGTACCAGGAATATTCTTGGGGGTAAATGGCGGCCGGAGCGTAGGGCTGACAACCTTGCCGCCATCTATGAGCCGATTGTCTAGAAAATGTGGGAACCCCAACATCTCACAACCCTATGGGCCTCCACGGACTATTATAAGGATACCTTTGCTTACTTTTTACCTTTAGGGTAGAAATGGATACTGTAAGGTGAAGAACTGGCTTAATGGCAGGCAGGTTGCAAGGAAGATGCCCACTCAGAATCTTTCTTTTTAGCTTACTCTCCTTAGTTTGAAAAAAAAAAATAAAAGTAGGGTTATGAGATCAGCATGCTGTCCGTGTTCCTTCCCCTGAAACTTTTGAATGCCTGAACCAATTTTTATGAAACTTGGTATGCATATCACGGCAACTGAGCCCATCTGAACGACATACTTCATAAATCCCTCCCATCAATCTGTGCTTCTCTATGTGTCTCTCTCTATCGTTGCTAACCAATGGCTATGTAAAACCGTTACAGCAGAAACGAATACAAATGCCACAGCAGAAGAATTGTGGGACGCATCAATTTGTATGCAGGAAAGTATGCAATTAGTTCTTCTCATAACTTCTTGTTAACTTTGTATGCCTTATACCTTTGCATCAGTAATGGTACCAGTGTGACTTTCATAACATGGTCACTATAAATAATAAAGCCATGCACTACACTACCAACAGAAACAAACTCCGTGGCCTGTAGTCCGCAAGCGACCTATACCGCCCGAGTGACCGCCGATTGTCGGCGAAGTTAGTGCCATGCACTACACTACATATAATAAATACACGTAATATGCACTTACCAATCGGTGTGGAGTGGTAAGCTCTATATCACAATAAGTCTCACATTAATCAGCTCACGTCACTGAAATATATATTTGAAGGAGATCAGAAATGCACAAATGAACAAAGTGGCCTGCCAAAAATATCTATCCTGTACTTTTCTTTTAAAATCACTGCACTAATCACTGCTTATATCGGAACTTAACCCGCACACGAAATTCGGCTTTAAATTAAAGCAAAGGCTTTATCCCGACCCGACAACGTTATTACGTCTGTTCCCGGGTTCAGTGATTGTCGAAAAGAAAATAACCATGTGTCATGTGAATCAAAACTCCCACCGAAGATGACAAAAAAGCGAATAGAAAGAAATGGCCACGGAAATACCTTTAGAAGTAAGATAGTTCAGTGCTATTGACAAAAGCAGAATGGCGCTGGCATCACATGTCCTATGATTTACACGGCACGTTGCGCGAAATAATATTTACTTTCCTATTTAAATATTAACAATTGTAGGATGTCAGTCAACATCTGAATTTCGTGTAATTGTATAGCGAAAATCATCCACTAACAATAGGGTTAAATTCCTACAGCTGCTTTCGCACAAACCACCACAGATGGATTTAACAGCTTTGATTTCAACTGATGTACGATAATTCATAAAAGTACAGATTTGTGTAGAATATCCTTTAACGTTAAAATTAGATCCTTTGATATGGTTCAGTTCACTGTTAATTACAGAGCCGGATTTAATGTTTCGGGAGTCACAAGTCAACTAAAATGTCACTGTCCCCATCAGCAGCAACAAATTTAGACCACAATTTTTTGGGGGTGTTCTGATATTGTATAAAACTAAAAATACTAATTAAACGTTTATGATTTTAGATATGAAACTGTCTAAAAATATGCGGATTTTATTGCTTTTATGTGAACGCTCCGGAGCGATCCTCCAGTTGTTCCCGTTAAATCTGGCCGTGGTTAATTTCATGCCAATCTTCGAATAATATTACAGCCGACCTACGTTTGGTGTTTGAGCTATACAGATTGTTCTGCGGGATTTTTGCATATAAAGACCGGTAGTTTGAACTTATTTATATTAACATTAAATTATGTTGTTCAGTGTTCTGGCAGGCACAAAACTCTTTCTCGTTGGGTCGTTTTCATGGGGGAGGATAACACAGAGATCACCAATAAAAGTGACGGATATCCTTTTTATCATAGATACAAACTGAACTGATCTCGCTAATTTTTGTGAATTGGGCATGAAGAGCTGCTAATTCTTAAATTCTGGTTTTTCTTCTCAAAAATCTGGGGTTGGCAGCCACATTATTGCATACAAAATTTTGGCTGGAAAACTTCAAGATAAAACCACCTGAGAGACATGGGGGGTGGATGATGAGATATTAAAATGGGTCTTGGAGTAATATTATAAAGGTGTGGAATGGTTTCAACTGGCTCAGATAGGGTTCAGTGGTGGAAATTTTGTGAACATGGCAATGAATATTCAGGTACTATAAAAGCACTAACTTTCTTGAACAGCTGAGTAACTATAAATTTTTCAAGGGAGAGCTTAATTAGGTAAGGAGTTAGTCACAAAAGGAAAAAAAAATGTGGCAGACTGTTAGAATGAAAAATTGTATTTAAAAATTCAAATTGATTTTACAACTTAATTAATACTGACACATCAACAAAGAACAAAAGTTGTGGGCAGAGAGAAGAGAGTAGGAGCAGCTTGATGAGGATGCAAAAGAAAAATGTTCATGGTTGAGAAGAATGATGGTGATGAAATCCTCAAGATCTCATTTAAGTCTGAACATTCCTTACAACAGCTACAGCAAAGATATTTATAAGAAGCATCACAAATGAAACAACCAAGGTGTGTGTGACCTCATACAATAACTTTGGGGAGAATACAGTCCACACAAACAGGTGGTAACGAAGAAATGTCACCAGTACAACATACACAGCAACAGGAAGTAGACGCAAAAGAGCTATGCAATGGTGAAAACTGTGAAACTGCTCCCAGAACCTGAAAGAGAAAGATTCTGTAAAGATTCATATTACAAGATGATGTACATGATTTATGATTTTCTCAGTATTTTAATAAACTACTCTGTTTTGTTAAAATATTATTACTGACACACACACACACAGACACACGAACAAACATAGTATGTTCATAATTGCCACTATTTATCCAAAGTAATGTTTCTTGCACAAATCATATCATTTTTATTAATATAATATATTTTCTGAATTGAATTAATTATACTATATATAGAAAGTTCTATTTATCATTTAAAATATACTGAAAACATTACAAATGTTATGCACTGATTTCTAAAGGTAACAGTTTAACAGATTACAGGGTCACTAGCAAAGTACCCATATAAATCAATGGTGAATGTAAGAGATAAGATTTTAAGCAGTTCTGTTCATTAGATTTTTATCCTTTAATGATTTAAAAGATAAGTTTTTGGTAAACTTATTTTAAAGCAATCTGTTGCTAATATTATAAACTTGGTAATTTTCATATATTTATAGAAGAGACAAGTAAGAATAAATATTCTGAAGCTAATGTTATGCAGTAAGCAGTCTCATTATTTTTTACAGAAGAGATCATAAAAATAAACAAGTCTATATTATTCCATTATTTTGATGTATGGTTCTGAAGATAAAATTATTTAGCACAAACTTCTGAGCACTATGTATTAGATACTGGAAGCTGTGAAACAGGTTCACATAAACTGATCATTTTTCTCTTTAACATGTCAAGAAACGTGGAAAACATATAATTCTGACGCCAATTTTTAGCTATACCAAGTGCTTCGAACTGTACATCTGTTCCTGAAGGTAAAGAAAGGTAAAGTCCCTGTGCTTATCTAATTAAGCACTATGTCATGAAGGCATAAGGGGAAGTGGATGTACATACTTACTTACTTACTCATGGAGCTGAGCCCTTCTTGAGGAGCCACCAATTCTGCAGCTACTCAAGAATTTCCCAGCATTTTATGGAACCTGAAGGTTCATCACCGTGTCCACAAGAGCTCTCCATTGGTCCCTATCCTGAGCCAGATCTATCCAATCCATACCATACCATACCATCCTATCTCTCTAAGATCCATTCTAATATTGTCCACCCACCTATGCCTTGGTCTTCCCTGTGGTCTCTTTCCTTCTGGCTTTCCCACCAATATCTTATACGCATTCCTTGTCTCCCCCATTCGTGTTACATGACCTGCCCACCTCATCCTCCTTGACTTAATCATTCTTATTATACTCGGAGAAGAGTAAAAGTTATAGATCCACATTTTCTTGACCTTGGCACTAGCTGGAGGTGAGTGATCACCTTCATGCCCTGGCTGCTTTAGCCCTGGGAAAAGAGCCCCTGATACCCATGGGATAGGAGGTTTGGGTGGACCCCAGAACCGGTCTGGACAACACAGAGAAGAGAAAATTCTTGACTCTACTGGGACTACTCCAACCCCTTGGTTGTCCAGCCCATAGCCAGTCACTATACTGACTATGCTATCCAGTGTTCTTGAAGGTCTTGTTAAATTTAATATTACTGAAACATGGGTATTAAATAGACTAAAATGTTTTGAATTTCTCCAGAAATGTGCCTGACGTGTGTGACACAGTGGAAGTGTTACCTAGGCTTGACTGACAAAACAAATTTAGACACTGAGTTCGAAAATTTGTATCTATCTACTTTCCACATAGTAAGATTAAACAAGGCTTTATTTACTTTGATTCTAACAGGGCTGAAATTTGATGTTTTGCATTTAATTCACTTTACAGTTCTTATTTGGTAGCAGAATATGGATCTTTGTACCTATCAATGCCTTCTTTTTGGTTCTGGAAGATGAGTTTCGACAGAAGTAAGAGATAGGACAGAATTGGTGCAGAATATGTGTTGATGATTAGGAGAGTTCCAACAACCATAGGGTTGTACCCAATTTGACCCACATAGCCAGATGCAATGTCTATGGTGGCCAAGCTGTTGGAGTTACCCTGCAAGAAATAACATAACATCTACATATCAACTGAAATGTTTTCTGAAATGAAAAATCTTCAACATGCTACAGGACTTCTTCCTGAAAGCTAAAGTTATACAATCATATTTATTTATGCTTGTTGTTCCTAGGTATATCCATTTTGACTAATCTTGAATGGTTTTATCTGTTGTGATACTATGACCTTGTTACCACAATCGTTACTTTATCTTAGCTATATAGATTTGTATTATCAATTTCTTTACTAATAATAATGTCTTGGAAAATACATATTGAACAAATTATACCTAAATTAAATGCAGCTTGCTATGCGATGAGATCAATTAAGCCTTTTATGTCACAGGAAACATTGAAGATGGTTTACCATGCCTACTTTCATTCTATTATGAACTATGGATTAATATTTTGGGGGAACTCTTCACATAGTGTAATAATTTTTAAAATACAAAAGAATATAATTAGAATCATTACAGGATGTAGAAGTAGAGATTCATGTAGAGAATTATTTAAGAAATTAAAAATTCTACCTCTTCAATCGCAATACATATTATCGCTTCTCTTATTTGTTGTTTACAACAAAGATAAATTCAAATTAAATTCTGATGTCTATAACATGAATACTAGACAAAAATATAACTTCCACCTACCCTCATCAACTTTATCAGTATATCAAAAAGGAGTCTACTTTACTGGCATAAAAGTGTTCAACAATCTGCCACAAAGTATTAAAAACTTGGGCAATGATACTAAAAAGTTTAAATCAGAGTTAAAGAATTATCTACATGCTCATTCCTTCTACTCTTTAGATGAATACTTCAATGTAAATAGAGAATGATGTAAAATTAAGTTATATTAATTTCTAAGCTAAAATTGCCTGTATTTATTTATGTAACCTTTTGACTTGTTCTGTATCCAAAGGTACTAACCTGCTTAGGATTTATAGAATGTAAATAAATTCAATTCAATTCAATAATAATCAGAGTACCATCATACCTGATAAAAATAGACAACAGTGCCAATCCAAACATGGGCAACAACCAGCCACCATGTATTTGTAGTAAGGCACCTGTGAGAAGCATAGGCTGTACCCACACAATGGCTCATGAAAACCTGTGCAGGAAGCAGAATGACATTGTGCGGGCGATGCAGCAGAGCACAGATGAGCAGCCAGCAACATGTGAGTTTCCTCAGCAGGCATCCCAATCTCCGTAATGAACTGGAATGCTGCACTTTCATTTCATACAGTGTCTGACCAATGCTGTTTGTTATTAACAGTGTTAAGATGCTCCAGAAAATGCGAGCCTCCATGACACCCCTACAGAGAAGAATCCATCTCTCAGTTTGTGTTCAATGGTAAAAAGTTATTTGTGAGAGATAATGTTCCTAGGATGGCATTTAGCAAGACACTGAGCTTCAAGAGCAACTATATACTCTATTCAGATACACATTAGTTATGTTAATAATGTGATACTTATATAGATTTCACATGTCAAGTTAGTGTTTCATCAGTTATTACCATCACACCAAAATATATATTTTTTAATTACATTATTACAAGGTGGATACTTTTCCAGATATCTATCATATTCAAGATAGAAAGACTTACACTCCGTGACAACTGGTGAGTCTCCATGATTGTCAATTTGATATTGCTGATGACAAAACAATACAAATTACTAAAATAGCAAGTCCCCAATGGCATGATCTTCACACCAACTTGGGTGAAATCTGATAAATGCATACAATATTCATGTTTCATAACTGAATCATGGTACAAACAGACATATGCACTGATTAACATGATTCCAAAGAAGGGATCTTTGTCCTGAAGAATCCTATAAATGCTACTGAAGAAGATATTTGAGACTAGAATACCTACAAAGATTAGCAATTCATTTTCTTTCATGCGTAACTTCCACTTGTACAGATTTCAGTTGATACTGATACTTTTTAGACAAATCCACATCATTGCCATGTTTGAAACTGTTAGCAGTTAATACAGAAATTTGTAGGTATGTTTACAATCTACCTTAATACCAAATTTCACCTTGATTTTATCAGATATCACTACGCAACAGAAAGCTATTTTGTACAGTCATTGTGATGTTTTATGTTCTACAAAATGGTGACCTTATTAAAGGTTACTTCAGTAAAATTCTTCACAGATCTAATACCACAAAATTTTAGGGCCTTACATTATAATGTACTAGTGCTACTTCCACCTCAGAAGTTCATACACCACAGGTTGGCATCATTTATGGCACAGAATTAAAAAGTTCAAATGTGTCATGACTTCCAGTGGTATAATGTTCATATCATCCTGTATGAAAATCCACTTGTTGGTTTAAGAGTTATTAGATTGGGCAGACATATATGAATATGATGTTGTAAGCCCATCTTTCCTTAATTACAGTCTTCTGGGATGTGATGTCATATAGTTAAGTAAATGGATATCAATATTCTGGAGGAACTTGTTGCATCAAACTTCAGGGTATAAGTGACTCTTCTGTCCTTAAGATAGAAGCAGCTGGTGCCTCCAAAATGATGGTACCCATCTACCAAACTACATGGCACCACATCTAAGGAGACTGACATCTTTGTGCTCATTGCCATGAGAACTTCAAGTCTCATTATGTTTCCTTACACCATTACGAAAGCAAGCTGAAAGTACATAGCAGAAAGTATCTCATATTCTGGTAGCCTGAAGGGTCAACACTGCTAATACCAAAGACCACCATTGGACACAATCCCCAGCCAGTTTTATCCACATCTTCTGTTTATTTATGGTTTATTTACCACACCTATCAATAGCTAATAATAGAGTGATTAATGAAATGGAAAGAATGTGGAAGGAATCACACATGGCCTAATTTAATAACCATCCACTTTCCTACAGGCATTAAGGAAAACCACAAAAATGTCAGAATACTCTGTGTCCCACACTTCATTCAATCCAGAACTCCCAAATAGAAGTCAGAAGTATTACCACTTGAGCCAATTTACTCAGCCATCCAATTCTCTAGTAAAATTAAATATAAACATATTCTGACATGTAGACCCATTTCTGGGCAGTCTGAAATATTTCGGGGAGGCAACAATAGAGGAGGTACTGCAAGAAGTGTTTTCTATTAGGTCCATGCCATGCCCATTGCTGGGCAATGGGTCATTAAACACACATTCTTCAGAGCCAATGACACATATTTTCTGTGGGGTCTGTGCTGAGGAATTATAAGAGGGCACAGAATGGAGTACAAAAGACTCAGGAGAATGAGAACTGAAAAAGTTCAAAGGAGTATAATGGAGTTAGCCTGTGAAAGGAAGACTTGATTTGTGATGTAATTACAGTGAGACTGTTATAAATCGGTTGCCAGGATACGACTAATGTGTGTCCTAGTTATTATTAGTCACGGAACCCCGGATATGTGATAATATGAACAAAAGAATGATAAATGGTGTCATAAAGTTCTTCTGACATACATCCCTAGTGCAAATTAAGAACAGTTACTAATGCAAAAATTAGAGAAAATAAGATTCTAACCTGTCTTGAGGATAGGAGAATGGAAAGTCAACATTTCCTATGGCACTACGGTAACAGTACACACACACTGCAGCAGCTGTACATAATACTGCATCTATCAGCCATTTGTATGTTCCTGGATAGTGTTCAGGGATGTACAAGCAGCAATAACACACTGCTACAAGACCTTCAAATAAACAGACACATTTATACACATAAATACACAGCTGGTCAAAAGATGGGGGGGAGAGGCAAATGTTAAAAGTATGAGAGATTTTCAGAAATGTGTTACCAATCATTACACATACGAAATGACTGAGTAAACTATGAAAAATATCAATTAGGATAGCCAGTCTCTGGGCCAAGATCTGATCCAGGCCATGCAAAATATGATGCAGGAATGTAAACCACTCAACCATGACTCCAACGACACAAATCTTTTTACTCTGCAATATATTTATTGCATTCAGGTAATGTTTGCTACCATTCAGTCCAGAAGCTTTTGTCTTCTCATCTGCTATCTAAAAACATAAAAATTAGATCATACAAAACTATAATTTTGCCTGCGGTTCTGTATGAGTGTGAAACCTGGTCTCTGACATTAAGGGAGGAACATAGACTGAGGGTGTTTGAGTACAGGATGCTGAGAACATTTGGTCTGAAGAGAGATGAAGTGGAGAAAACTGCATAATGAGGAGCTTCGTAACTTGTACTCTTCACCAAGCATAATTAGAACAGAGAGAATGGGGTGGTATGGATTGGATTGATCTGGCTCAGGATAGGGACCAGTGGAGGGGTTTTGTGAACATGGTAATGAACTTTTGGGTTCCACAAAATGTTGGGAAGTTCTTGAATAGCTGCACAACTGGCATCTTCTCAAAAAGGGTTCAACCCCATGAAGTTAGTTAGTTCTGCTCTATATTTATAAACAAACAACTATATAAATAAATAAATATGCACCTTGGCTTAAGTTGGCAATGCACATTATTCATTCACACAATACTCACATTGTGCAACATATTAATGAGAATTTGAAATATCATACTTCATAAAAACAAGTTCCTCCACAGTGGTGTACAGTGTACACAGACAGAAGTACAGATGCAGACATGGAAAATGTGACAACAGATGCCCTAACATTTTTGTAGAAGATGTGTACAAATTAATGCTTATATATTCTTAATAATTTTAACAAATTCTATCACAGATATTTAGAAATTTTTTAATTGACTGTTAAAAAGTGTGAGTTACCTAAGAGGAACACAACTGACAGGTAGGTTTTCTGCTCCTGCTGGATGAGCCAATCTCCAGCATCTGGCAATGATGCCCACTTGTCACCAGTTTGGTTCCATTTTCTGAGGATGCGATGGAGAAGTGGTAATCCTAACCAGCTCAACAGAAGCCTACCAGGCATAGGCTTTTCTAGAGAAGAGTGCCTTTTGTCTGTAGGAACTGATGGCTTCTTGGAGAACATAGTACAGAAAAGCTCATATAGAATGACAACTGCAAATGTCAGCCACAGGAAGTACCATATTTGGTGCTCCTCTTCTATAAAACTGCTGGATGAGAGGCTGATAACATGTAGCAATGTGCCCACCACAAGAATGATTCGGCCTTGACCTGGATGAAGTATCTGTGTGCAAATGTACAATATTAAATGCTCTAGACAAATTATATATAATGAGACATTTATATTTAGAACCCCAGATCAGGAATGGTTATGATGCACCCAGTTTAGATATCAACATGGTTCCTGGATATCAGAATTAAGGTATTTTCTGTTGTTCCTCTGTCTCTCCAGCAGAATCCTGGAATAGTATCTTAAAAAAGTCCAATACTGCCTCACTCTTCCAAATAGTTACACTGGAACCGCTATTTAATCTTTTAAACTACACTAGTTACTACATGTACCACCTGCTATGGCAGTAAAAAATAACTGTATTCTGCTATAAAGAGCATTTATGCATTTTGTATGATGTTCAGAATAAACAGTAATTAATTTCCTAAACATCGTTAACCAGTTATCTTTGTATTGGAGAGGTAGCACTTTCTGATAGGAAATGATTCTTCAAATACTATTTAGATAACGTTTGAGCTTCAAAGGATTAGTGTTCCTCAATCCACAAATAGATATGTTACCGTACTCTTGACAGTAACTACCAATTAAAAATCAGCTTGCATAATAAAGCCACATGCTTAATTTCTGTACATATCTGACTGATATTCCTCAAAAATAGAGAGATAGAGACTCAAATTGAAAATAAGAAGACAGAAGAAAGAACTCTTAAATTTTTAATTACACACAAATAGGATCTAAAATAACAAATATAACTCCTATACACTGACCTGAGAAATATGTATCCTTTGGAATGTACTTGTCAGGATAAGAGTTGTATTCACTCCAACCACAATTATAATACCAAGTATAATTGGTATTGCTATGAGGGAATAACTGCAGAGGATGCTGGTGCTTTGACTTAATGAGCACCAGAGAACACTCATACTTAAAAGCATTATGTTAATGAGAGTTGTTAACATCAGAGGCACAGGATGTGGTCTTATTTTCATAGCAAGTATGATGACTAGCTGAAAGAACAAACATAAGACTGCTGTAATGCACTTTAAAATACATGTACTTGGTGGTCTACAGACATACAGTCACCTTATGCACAAAGATTTCAGGTTTGAGACTGTCTAGTTCTTAGAAAACTTGCTTCAACCATCACCCGTAACAAGGTCAAAATTCTGTGAATATATGGAATACTTTACATAAATTGGAGCCCACAATTCTGGGTTTACTCTACTGCCCAACAGAGGCTACATACACAAGTAATCAAAAACAGGAAGTACTCACAATAAACATTTACTCTTTGGCTTTTCACTTCAGTAACTTATTCTATTCAAGTGTGTGAGTGCACATGTTTGTGAGTCAGGGGTGGAAATGGTTTTTCACTACTAGGTAGATGTTCCAGTTGCAGAATTAGGTGAACACTCCAGATCAGTAGAAAAGCCCAGGGGAATGACATACACATACTGAAAGCAATCACTGCAATGTAGGCATGTGAATTTGTGCCTAAATGTATTGTTACTGGAAATGACAGTTATGGTATCATAATCCACTAGAAATATGTTCCCCAAAATTATATGCCCTGGACTAAGTACAAGGCTTCTGTTTACATCTACTCCCATTTCCAGCCCTAATGTGAGTGCATACATGAATGTAGGACAGACAGAGGGAGAGAGAGAGAGAGAGAGAAATCACAGAATGGTATTCTCATGTGAACCTGGTCCTTGGAAATTAGTTTGATCTTTTCTGTTTTTATGTGAATGCAACGTGAAAACCAACTTATATTGCAGTCTTCTGGTTTATGAAACCTTGTAGCCTGGTTTCAGCATTGGTGGGGGGGAATTGCCTTTGTCTTCAGGGTGCACAGTTTCATAACTTAAATGGACAATATATTACTCTTCACCACTATCAATACTTCAATCCTATATGCTGGAAATCTAAGTTGAGCTTTCTGTAAGAATATTTTAACATGTTGCGCGACTGAGAACCCCCCTCCACCCTCCTCTCCACGGTAACGTAGCGCTCCCCGCCACTCCCCTCCGCGGTGACGTCACGCGGTGACGTNATCCCAGATGCTGTGACCAATAAAGGTATATCAAATGTTACCAATGAGTCTGCCAGCTGTGAACTCATACCAGTGAGAGCTGACATGTATAATCTTGCTATTGTACCATCTAGGCCAGACTTAGATGAGTTATCTGAGGTCAACCAGATGGCATGGAGCATCATAGCCTCTTTATATTCTAAATAACTTGCTGCAATAAATGTATAGAAAGAATACTGAATGGGTCAGAAATATAACTTATTCCTTAACATACCTCCACATCCTTGTTAAGTATGCAGCATCAACAACCAATCTGAGTGCAAAGCATACATATGACACTAATTCAAATTCACTAATATTTCACACATAATGTTTTTCCTTCAGAAAGACTGAACATCATAATTAAATGTTTAGTGTATCTGCTTTGAGTTTGACAGGTCCTGGCTTTGATTCGCAGCTTAGAGGCTGGTCCTTGTGACATGTTAACTGCAGTTTCCTTGTTCCTTTCTGATATCATGATCACTTATTTCCACACCCTTCCAATTATTTTTCACAAACATCTTCTGATTCAATGCCAAATTATCTACATAGCTCAGGAAATAGTACTAAATATACTAACACATAAGCAAACACAAACAAATTGTTCATGTGAGAGGAAGAATCATATAAAAAAAGTACAATTATAATTTACACATAAATTTAAAGGTTTCAACTTGTAAAACAACTTTAAATCACCTTGTGTAGCACTATCAGAAATTTGGTTTTCAAACTGAGTAGCCACTTGTTTACAGTTGTAGTACAGTGCATACAGCTGTTGTGAAAATGGTATATTGTGCAGAAGTGCTGGAATCATTTTACCAAGGTTGGTTGCTGGAATCGGAAGACCAAGCAACATAGACAGAGTGGGAACTAAATCTATCTGTGGCACAAACGCTTGAAGTACACCTTCAAATGGGCCGCTGAAACAAGTGCACAAACATGTGGTAATTGTTAAACAAAGAAATCTGGTACAGCATTCCATCTTCATTATGGTAGGTAGCAATGATGGTGAACAAACAAAGCACAGCGTGACATACACACACACACACACACACACACACATATATATATATATATTACAAAATGGTAACCCAACTAATGAACCACATGGAGCTGACAAGCTGCTACTCACTGTGCTTCTCAAGAATTTCCCAATATTTTATGGAACCTGAAGGTTCATTACTGTGTTCACAAGAGCCTTCCACTGGTCTCTATCTTCAGCCAGATCAATCCAGTCCATACCACCCAATCTTATTTCTCTTAAGATCCATTTTTATAAAATGGGAACCTACAGTGATAATGGGTAATACCTTCAGCCTCAATCTCAAAACAAATACAGAAAGGACTCTAGTGCTGTTAAGGGTTAGAGATGTGATCATAGCAGAATGAAAGGAAAGAAACATCACAAAAATGGGTCTTGTCTTTTCAAGAAGACACTGCAGCATTTAACTGCCTGAACACTGGCATACTTCTTAGCAATCCCACTAGTACCACTAGTATTTGGTGGATTACCAAATTAAATTTCATCTGGAAGGCTGGATACCCTGACTGCATGTGAATTTCATCAATTACACAGGCCTACAAAAAAAAAAAATTTTTTTTGGTGTCTAGGATTTTAGAACTAATTTTAGTTATATTTAAGGCGCTGAATCTAAATATAAAATCAGTTTTTCTCTACCAGCTCTACTTTTTTAGATCAGCGTTTTTGTAACGTGCAGTTCTACACAAAATGTGCAGTTCTAATTGTATTTTGTGCAGTTCTAAATCTCATATGCAAGGATTGGTTCCTGTATATTTGCCCTATTGTCAGTCTGCTGTCCACTGAGTTCCCNNTTCATCTGGAAGGCTGGATACCCTGACTGCATGTGAATTTCATCAATTATCACTAAAAATGAAAAACATGAACATTTTCAAAAGACAATATTTACAGCAAATTTCATGAGTAATTCATGTATTTTTAAATACATATGTCACTTTTTGTTGTTCTAATGTTCTTGGCATTTGTGAGTTTCATATCAGATTACATAAAAATGGATATTTTAATCAGATTTCTTGCAAAAGTCTCAGTGAATAAGAGTATGCATACCATATAATATTAACATTATTAATGTACACAACTTGGGTCTAAAACACCTTTTGATTTTGTTATAAATTAAATATAAAAATGAATTTAGACCCTTGGATATAGTGGATCTCCTAAACTGGCCCCACAGTAGCTACTTCAATGATAGTTCCATTCCAGGCTTCAAGTGGCTTTTCCACCAATATTCTGTATGTATGTCTTGTCTCCTAAAACTTAGCCAGAAGACCAGTCCACTGTAGCCTTTTATATTTCATTGTCCTGACAATACTAACATGTGTAAATGAAGAAGTTTCTCATCACGTAATATCCCCAACTGCCTACTTAATTTAGTCTTTCCAGTATTAAGGATCAAAACTGTATGTAGACTAGACAGACAATATTTTTCAGAACAAACTAAACTTTCAGTATCATAAACACAGTTTTCCCTCATGATGAATATTAACTGATTATTCAAATTACCTAGATAGTTCTCCTGAACACATATCACCAATAATAACAAGGGGAACTAAAACTTCTTCTAGAGTGGCTCCACCATGGCTCCCTGAATTTTTCATACCATGGTCTCCACAAACCACCAGCACTGATGGAAGACCAAAATGTTTATCCTGGAGAAACAAATGGCACAATAATTCATGTACTACAAAATTGAGAAAAGAGAGGCTAAACTGAAACTTAACAGAAATGGTAATAAATAACTAGTATCATCCAGGGAAATGTGGAAGTGTAAGAAAGTCTTTAATACTTTCATAACAATCTTTCTAGGGGAAGGATAAATACAACATTTTTCACCTAAATGGCTATGAAAATGGCATTGAAGCTACCCCATGATGTGGCCATTCTACTGAGATGCAGAGAATAGAAGAAAGCAGATGTTCATGTAGCTTCAAAAATTGCATTACAAGAAGCAGATGATGGTTTCCAGAAACGTTTTGTACAAGTATACGCTAACAATGGAATGTGGCTGCTAACAGCATTTTAAAGGCAATTGTGTCTAAGGGCTTCTTAGAAAGTTCACAGCCATAATTATTTGTAAGTGAAAATGGTAGGTGTTTTCTTGAATCCAACATGACGGGAGTACTTTGATGCTTTATTATAAGAGAACTAGATTTGAAAACTGGATTTATGAAACAGCTGTTCCACTTAAAGGTTCTGACTTGCATGCTCCACACTTCTGATTCTTTTTTTTTGTATTAATGAATTATTGATATCTTCTGATTAGGAAATAATGGTCCACTTCAATTCTGAATATTTTACATTCAATCTCTGAGTGCAAAATGAGTTCATACAGACATAGGGTAAATTCCAACTCGGTCTCAAATAATTTCCTTCACAATTCTTTCACCTTACCCATGCTAAGAACATGTGATGAATCCTCTTCACAATATCATCCATTTCTTGTAATTTGGGCTTCACAAGGGGACTCTGTGGACCTTCAACATGTCCAATGTGATCCAGTCCCAGATAATGAAGCACCATTAGCCTCCAATCCTCAGCATTTAGCTCAGTAGCCAAGTGTCTTGTCACATTGTCATCCACCTCAAATCAATAACCAATTCTAGGATCAAACATTGTACTGTCATATGAATGGTTTCCAGTCCTCATACTGTCCTACAGGTTAAAAGTGACATTCAGTGCAAGGGTTCTCAAATAGTGGTCTGACCACTGAAGGCTTCAGATTTTTATTAATGGCAAAATGCAAAGTTCTGACAATGTATCTATTGCAAAAATACATCAGCCTGATGTATACTTGTGAACAGAAATACAATGAAGAATGGGAATCACTGTGCTAATTTCATTTTTCACCAACATCCTGAGTTACCAGATCATCTTAGATATCTCTTCAGAATCCCCTGAAGCCAAATTTTTAACCAGAAGTTGACGGTTTGGTTTTCTGGAGAACATGTTAATGTGCCAAAGTTCATATTTTGCTCCTGTTTTAATTGCTATGACTCACCCTTCTTATTATTCTTTAACTTTGCCAGAACATATTCCAAAGAGAAATCCGTTTACCTCTGTGAAGTCAGAAACAAAAAATGATGTAGTTCCTTCACTTCTGGTGAATACATTAGGAAACAGTTTTAACCATGTTTCATCTCCATAGAAAATTAACTTCATGTCATGATGCCTTGCTTGAAGCAATAAATTATCTTCCAAGATTTTACTGCTGCCCAAGTTCAGAGCAACATCTGCAAAACTGGGTACAGTACCAGTTGTCATGGCCTGAAAAGAAACAGTGTTTGAGAACCTCGTATCTTGTTCATGGCTACTGTAATGGGAGATGTTACATTCAGTGAGACTTGAAATTATGCTGTCTTGACAAAATACAGAAAGATGATTCAGTGACTTGTGTCAAGATCCAGTACCATTACTGATACCTCTGGTGTAGCCTAACATTACTATCCTCAAAGCATCCTTTGCATGAACTTCCTACTACAAATATTAATGAGACAACGAACTTAGGTCCTACTTTAATTCTAGGCATTGTCACTGTTGGTGGCCTGGCTTTTCCAATCAGTAAACAAGCCTTCTTCCCATCAATTAATGATGCTGTATATGGCATATTCAAGCGTCCTTTTTCACCCTCCACAAAATTCCAGCGAAGAGCATCAATGACCATAATAACTAATCTTCCAACAGAAGGCTTGTAAAGTTCATTAACACTGACTCTGAAAAATTCAACACAATATAAGTTTAGTACCAAAAATTAGCTCTGAAGCAGCCACCCATAACCAGTGTAGCTGATTCAACTTTATATCTAACAATTCATATTCATATTCATATTCATATTTATTTCAAGTTCAGTTGATNAAATCAACCAGTAAATCTGAAGTGTCATATTTATTAAACTGAGAGAAAAGAATATTCCAGTTCCACTACATTAACTTACTTAATATCAGCTACTGTTGTAGGTAAGCTGTCCACCGTTGCTGTTGTTCCATAAATATTCTTCATTGGAAAGAAACCATATAGAAACAGTATGATGGAGAATACTTCTATTGTTACTATATAATGTAGTATATAACTGTGCATTATTTATATGTAATAAATGTCAATGGGAGGAGGAGCTGCAACATAAGAACATGATACAGAACAATACACAATCAATATTATCTCAGAGTGAGGTTAGGATACGAAATTTATGAACACAATTTTTACTTCATTCTGTGAATAATATTAATAAACAAAGAAAGTAAAAGAACCTTCGGCAATACACAGACTTTTAAAAATAAAATACCTTATGCAGTTCTGTAGTGCGAGAATTTTGCAGAAATCAGCTGATTTTACTACCCTCATTGCCCTCATTACCTTTAAGTTTTCAAGATGGTGACATTTTGAAGCTTTAGTGGTGTGATCTGGTCAATAACTTATCAGTTTTGGAGAATTCACGTCACCTAGGTAATCTGTATTGCATATGCAGGCCTTATAACACATTTAATAATGCTCATATGTTCGTGAAATATATATTCGACGTGAGTCATAAGTCTTGTTCCAGAGCAAATAGATTAAGTAAGGGAAGTTGATAAGATTGGAGACAGCTGTCTGAAAATTTGAACTAATTTACATGAAATACGATTTCTTTAGTTTGATCAGTTTACAGATTATTTTCTTTCACTTCAGTAATTTTACGTATGTTGTAAAATTAAGGATTCCCGGTCGGTCGGTTAAATTGCTGCTGGTTTGGCCAGCAGAATCAGAAAATTTTACACCTATTAATACCAACCGAAGTCAAGCCAGTGGTTAGACCTGTCAAATGAGAGGCTAAAACTGGAAGTTCAAAGCATTTGGCATAATTATGTTGAAGTAATAGTGATTTTGAATTGTGTATGTCAAAATCAAGTAGTTCCTATGCTTAACTTTCTTGTATTAAGCTTAAGTTTCACATTCACCTTTAGGCTTATGTATTGTGACCTAATGATGCACAGTTGAGCATGATCAGGTTTTAAGTAAATTGTCTTTAATTTAGATATTCTGAGAGTGCTTTGTTATTAATACAAATGTGATATTAATATGTAACTTCATATTGACATTTTCATGATTTTTAAAGTTAAATAGTTCAAATAGTTCTGAGATGTCACTAGTTCTGGAAGAAGTGTGGAATGAAGCAACATCAGGTCTGCCAAAAAATGTAACTGATGAATGGTGGACTAAGATATTGCAGAAGTATAGTGAAGATGGAAGGAGTTATCATAATATTCAGCACTTGGAAGAGAAGTTTGACCAATTGAAAACAGTGAAACAAATTTTGAAAAATGCAAACGCAGTTATATTGGCTACCTTCTTCCACTAGTAAGTAGAAGTACTGTCTTATTTTTTGGCTCTTTATTAATTCTTCATGTAAATGTAATTTACATTAATATGAATATTAATTATGAATTAATATTTACATTAATATGAATTGATGGTACAATTGCTTGCTTACAGTTATGAATATGATCCCAAAGCAGTGGACAGTGAGGAAAAAAATTCCGAACATTTCAGTAAATTTGCTGACGAGTGTGGCATCCCTAATGTAAGTGAGTTTAAGTTTTCTATATTGCTACCAGTATAGGGTGCTCATCAGTAGCATGAAGTTTCATGTATGGAAAATAATGTTAAATATATTTCACACTGAGTTGATAAGACAGTCAGGATTCCTGAAGGCTGTCTTTAAACAGTTCTTCTTGAATTAGGTGATGAATAAAATTTGTTCACAAAGAAACATAAATGATTGCAAAGGGTGGCATGTAGAACTGAGACCAGCATCTGGGCATTATTTATGATTCTCGGAATAAACAGCAACTACTTCCCAAAACACTTCGACTAACCGACTATGTTGGCTCATGTAGTAGCAGCTTTGAATTGTGTTGAGGAAGTGCTCAGTTAGACCCTGACAGGAACTGACTGTTCTGACTAAGGGTTTCATTTGGTTTTCCACAGTCCCGCCAGGCAAATACTGGGACAGTATTTTAAATATGGACATGGCTGCTTCCTTTCATGTCTTTTCCAGTCATTTGACAGTATAGAATATGACTTCCTGATAAGAGTCTTTAAATAAATAAATAAAATGCACACATGACAGATATTCAAATCTCTTCACTTCAGTTTCATATCCCATCTTCTGGTATAGAGTTATTTCATATTTTTCCTGGATCAGGGATAGCCCAGTCAGTGTAGTAATAGACTATGGACTGGGCAGCTGGAGTTTAATTCCTGTCAGGGACAAGAGAGATTTTTCTCTTTTCCACAGTGTCAAGACTGAATCTGGGTTCCACCTAGACTCCTATACAATGAGTACTGGAGGCTCTTTTGCCAGGTGCAAAACAGCTGGAGCATGAGGCTGACCACTCACCATCTAGTGCTGAGGTCAATAACAGTAGAGCTATACTTCCACTCCCCCATACATCTTTATGGTGTAGTGCTTAATTGAATGGGCACAGGGACTTTACCTTTATAGTTCTTGTCTTCTTATGGGGTCTCTGAGGCAGCCTGCTATTACAAATTAAAGCAGACCTGCTTGTGCTATGTCACTTTAGTATTCTCCTCCTGTCTTTAATGAACATACTAGTTATAGGTACAAAGCAGCACAGTGTAGGATATCTGCTTGTAGGAGAGCCCTCTTCGCAGTGCAGTTGTGGATCTTCTCCATGCAGCTGCCACACACAGTACAGACGCACACAAGACAGATGGGATGTATGGTAATGAGGACCTGCACTTCTTTTTAGACATTGATATGGCAGTTCTGGGGTCAAGCCCAGAGCATTACTCTGAATACATAGCTAAAGTTCAACAGGAATATGCCTTCTTACCAGAGACTATATACAGAAGTCTCAGGCTTAAGGTGGGTATTTGCCGAATTGAAACACTGTTCGACTCTTGTTGAGGCACAACAGTGATTTATATTTTAGTTTACAGTCCTGTGGATTTGGATCAAAACTAGAGAATAGATTTCTGTTGGTGGTATTTCCATCATTCTTTTCGCATGATGAAAATAACCATCTGTTATGTATAACTGCCACAAAAACCTCAAATCTTATATAAATTAGCCATTTATATTTGTGATGTATTTATAAAATTATATAACAATATGAATTAAAGCCACAGCCACTTAAAAGCTGAGTACAGGAACTATGCATTACAGCATTAATAAACCATTTTTATAGTAACATTAACCAGCTTTAGACAGTGAAACCTGAATGTTCTATACCTATAATACTAAAGCCTTTTAATGAACATGAATCTGAACCATTTCAGTCCACTTCACAGCCTCCTTAATGTTTACTTCAATATTATCCTTCCTTCTTCCTTTCAGTCATCCAAGTTGTCACTTACCAGGAGATTTCCTTGCCAACATTCTGTATTTCCTCCTTAATCTCCCTAATTTAAGCTTATGTTCAGTGTACCATAATCTCACTGGTTTGGCTGCCTTCTCACCCAAGGTGACATTTACATTCTTATGTAATCTTAAGATGAGGCACACTTTCTGAAATTCAGTATCCAGTAAGGATATAAACAAACTTGAAACATGTAATACCATAACTGCACCTTAAAGAGATACAAATACAGTGAAATGTTACATAGGAACAATCACACATGACAGTTATAATTATACGAAATAAGAAATATAGTTTTTAAATAACAATGCCATATTTGAACGTTAATGGATTTCTTTTTCAGGTCCTACAGAGTTTTTTACAAATTCCAAACATATTTGCCAGCAGAGAATTTCGAGAAAAGTTTGAGTCTAAAGCAAGAGCTAACATACAGAAAGAAGTGGACTCTTTGAAACGTTGAGTTTGTCTGATTTCTGGTAAAATGCCCATAATGCTGTCTTTCAAGTGTTAATGATCTTACAGTGTTCAAGACAGAGTAATTAATATTACATTAATATTCTAGTCTGCTCTCTATTTACAGTGGTAGTAATCTCTTATGACAACCTGTGTGTTCATCATACATATAAAGTATTTCTTTGTAGTGTTGGCTATGCCTTCTGATAATGGCCAGTAGTGGCCAAAATATGTAAAGGCAATTTTTTGTATTAAACCTGTTGCACATGATGGACCTTGCTCCTCATTCTTGTACTGCAAATACTACTTTGAGATATCATGATGTAGCAGAAGAATTTATTTTATTTTCATAATGTACATTTTGTTGTGTGTCACAAATATATGGCTGGGCCATATATACCTGTCTGTAATTGTTATCAGACATCGAAGATGTTCAGAGCAGAAGTAGCCACTGTACTGATCCAGACATCATAGTATGGAAAGTATTGAAAATGTGGAATGTATTCACTTGCTTGTTTCAAAGCTGAAAACAATAAGGATCTCTTTAAATGTTGTTAAATCAATGTACTAAAATGTTGTATCACTTGAAAGAAACAATATTGATATCAGAAACCACTCTGAACATCCAAGAACTTCATTCTTTATTGCATGTTTCTTGACCCTTGTCAAGTATTTATAATTTATTGTACTTCCCTCTATTATGCAGAGAGATCTATCATTCCATAAACCTACGAACACAACTTTTTACAACAATTGTGAGCATTTACGGAGAAATTGTCAATTATGTTGCCCTGTTGCTATATATGTGGTAGTTTTCTAGTTTTCTGCTGTAAATTTCTTAACTGTGCATTACTGTTACTATGACCTGACAAATCACTGAGCTGACCTGGCATGATATCAGGAGTGCAACAAAGAAAACAGGTACATCTGTATTTTATGACAGTTGGAATGCAGAAGTATATTACTTTTTTTTATCTGAGCTTTACCATTCAAATTTAAAGTGCATTATGTTGTATTTTAGCGTCCTGTTGCACTGATTTTCATCCATGATACATATGCGGTGGCCGTCTTGTAGTGCACTCAATTTCACCTGTTACTTCACGACATGTTTCGGCAGCCATAAAGGGAGCACACATCACTACACACGGTATACACAGAATATAAGAAAAAGACTCCCATAGTGGAAGAACCATACGCGAGTTTGAATTAAGACACATAAGATGAACAATCTTAACAAATTTTAGTGTATAAAAATTTATTATAATTGATGAATATGTACTTTTTAAACAATTTTACAAAGACATATAATGGCAAGCAATGAAATAGCTTTGCGTAAATAACGAACCTGATGATGGCACTATGTTGCCGAAACATGCCATGAAGTAACAGGTGAAATTGAGTGCACTACGAGACGGCCACAGTATACATATCATGGAAGAAATTCAGTGCAACAGGACGCTAAAATACAACATTATGAACTAAAGAGGATTAAGAAGATGANGAATTTGATAACATTGTAAATTACATGCCTGGTTTGCCCTACAGTACTCTACTTGGAAACATATGTTTCATCCATGAGAAGTCACATTGTAGTAGACATAAAAGTGACTATAAACGGAAGTGAACATTATGTCATGCTTGATAGCATTGAATATCACCATGAATATACTTCTTTCTGCTTGATTATGTATATATATAAGAAGAAAGCAGTCTTCTGGGATTTGGCATCCCAGAAGACTGCTTTCTTCATAATCACCGCCGTGAAAGCCTCAAATCTTACATATATATATAAGCTTTAAGTGTATTAATGTGAGCTACAGTAAAGATTCACCAAGCAAAGAGCACTTAAGCATTTACACTATGCAGAAGAATATGTTCTTTTAAACATAACCTGAAAATGATTCCCATATGCATTGCCTGTATCCTAATTCATGAACTTGCTTTCTATGGTGTGTATGTGTATATATCTGTGATATCTGTAATTGTAATATCAGGTCCAATAAACTTTTCTTCAAAATGTGAACAGATGTTTCAGGAATAATAATCTAAATGAATATGCCATGTTCATGATATACTTTTATATCCGTCCATACTATAGCCCAATTAACAAGGCAAGAAAAACACAAAATTCAGTTATACTTGAAAAGTGATAAGCCTAGCTTGTTAGGGTTCAGTTCTAGTCACAAATTTATGGTTCAGTAACTTCAAGCACAAAGATTGAAAATTTTACTGTAGTGAGCGTAATATTTCCATATGGAAATCTGCTGGTTTCAGTAATAACTAATACATTTATATGTAGAATGAAGATCTGAGGTGGGTACACTTGAATGAACTCTGGTGCCAGAAAGCTGACTTAGAAAGTAAATAAGCTGTGGCCAATACTTTGAAAAGTTAGCTCATATTTGGAGAGTTAATTCAAATTTCGTCATTCAAAATCTTCCCTATACTTCAATGAATGGCAGTTGAACCTCTGATTTCTCAAAATAGGAATCTTGTTTCCTGAAACAGAAATGATTTGTCTGACAATTAGGCATGCAGAGCTGTTAGCTTAGAACCTCTGTATCAGGGGAGTAGTAAACTGGGTGTGAAGGTCATGCAAATGGATGCCAATCTGATGCCATGTTTCTTACACAGTTCTTGCAACATAATTATGGCAGTGGATAGTGTTTTGAGAGGGAAGCAGATCTAATACATTCAGCATAGGATTTTCACATTCCACTTGAAAAATATGCAAGATTTCTTATTTACCAGGTATGGAACAATAAATAACATGATAAAAAGTAAAAGTAGGTAAAGCTATCCCTGTAACAGGCCGTGAAGGCCCATAGGGTTGTGAGATGTTGAGGGTCCCACATTATCTAGACAGTTGGCTCAAAGATGGCAGTAAGGTTGTCAGCCTTACGCGCTTTACTCCCCAGGAAAATTATTCAATTAATTCCTGGTAGTCATTTCTGTTAGAGGCTGAGTCGACCCCAGGGCCATAGTGTGGCTGGAAGGATCAGGTCAATTGAAAAAAATTCAATGACCTCATCGAGACTTGAACCCGTGATCTTCTGGCTTGTAGCATAGTGCCTCAACCAACTACACTACCATGTGTACTTTCAATTGTATGACAAGCCAATGTGACTATATACTATTCATAACATACTCTGTACTTTAATTATGGTTACAAATATTGTGTGAAACATTTTGATGTGTATGTTAAAAAATGTCTATACTGGGATATATGAATTATCAAGGCGTCTGCTGGAAACATTGATGTTGTCCTTATTCCAAATGCTGCTATAAATTCATCTTACAAATAGGAAAACTCAGGAAATAAGGTTTCTATTTTTGATGCTTTTATTCATGTAATATTCATATCCTTATTCTAAAACATTAACACATATAGATTCTATCCCCTACTTCATGAAGACATTTTGGTAAATGGAAAGTGCTGACATGATATTAGGACTGGTCACATCTGAAATCACTACTACAATAAAACAATCAATATTAGTTATCATGGTAATAAAATTCATTAACTGCACTCCCAATATAGCAACTGGCTAAGGGCTGGACGGCCGAGGGGCTGGAGTTTTGAGTCCTGGTAGGGGAAAAATTTTTCTCCTCTCCATGTTATGCAGACCAGCTCTGGGGCTCACCTGGCTTCCTCCCGTGGGGGTAAAGCAGCTGGAATGTGAAGCTGACCACTCACATCCAACTAGTGCCGAGGTTCAGAATATGTGGATCTATACATCCACTCCCCCATATGTCTTCAAGGCATAGTGCTTAATTAGTTAAACACAGGGACAACTTCAACTGCACCCCCACCCTCTTCCAGCTTTAGATTATTACTTCTAAAAAATAGATCATTGTGTTACTATTATGTTCGTGATATTTGATATCATTTTATGACTTCTTGAAATTTGGTCTGCATATTTCTTATGGTAGGAATAATTGCTAAATATTTTTAAAGATTACTTTATGTCTTCAAGTAAACTGAAGTTCTTGATCAATTGATATATTCTGAAAGTAATTATACCTCAGGTTTTTTTTTTTTTGAGAATTCCACGTGGATAATTCAGAACAATCAGTATCAAAGTACTGGCCATGCATAAAAAATCGAAAATTAGGCGTCTTGAAATAGTATGTTCTGTAATTCAAAGTTAAGCACAATATTATATGCATATGTCAGGCAATTACCTTTTCTACTCAAGTGGTTTATCACTGTCTTCACAGTTCTCTTGTGTTGTATTTCAATGTGAAAGAACAGTGCTGTGGAATTCGAGGTTTGCATGGCAATGAAAATTAAGATTGTGGTGTTCTGGGTTATAACACTGCATAGTTTTGTAGGTGTTACCAAGCAAAGGCATTATAGGAAATGATATCCTGGCTCCTGAGCAGTATGGTTTTTGTAAGGATGTATCTACACAAACCGCAGTCTTTAATCTAACTGATACTGTTCTTAAAGCATGGAACAATAAGGAGTTTGTGGTAGGTATTTTTTGTGATCTGATAAAGGCCTTTGATTGTGTCAGTCATGATCTGTTGATTCAAAAGTTGAAGATTAAAAAGTCAAAGGGCCTATTTTGAAATGGTTGGAGACTTATTTAAAAAATAGAATGCAAAGAGTAGTGCTGCATACTTGTAACTCGACTACTACAATCTCTGAATGGAAATCTGTAAGGTTTGGTGTTACCCAGGGATCTGTCTTGGGGCCACTGTTGTTTAATGTTTATATTAATGATTTCCCAGGTACTCTTAAGGACATAGCACGTACTATTTTGTACGTGGATGACACAACAATTTTAATTACCTCAAATGACCTAAACTCTTTGAATATTAAATTAAATAGAGTTATGACTAGGTTTTCAAGCTGGTTTTGAAATAACAATCTGGTACTTAATTTGAGTAAAACTCACCTGATTAAATTTGTGACTCCTAAATCTCCAGAGTATACATTATTGGTAACATATAATAATTTTAGACTTAAAGATGTTGATAAAGTTAATTTTTTAGGTATGTATTTAGAGTGTCAATTTAATTGGAAAAAACAATCTGAAAAATTATTATAGAAACTGAATACAGCCTGTTTTATGCTCAGGAAGTTACAGTCCCTTGTCAGTGAACAAGCTCTTCGAATGGTCTATTTTTCTTATTATCAGTCTCAGCTTGAATATAGTATTAGATTCTGGGGTTCTTCTCAGGTTATGAAAAGTTTATTTGCTGCCAAAAAAAGGGCGATTAGGGTTATGCTTAGATTGAGTCCTGGAAACTCGTGCAGAGAAGATTTTAAGAGGTTGGGTATTTTGATGGTTCCTAGCCTATATATCTACGATATCTACGAGATATTATATATATATCTCGTATTCTATATTGATGTTTGTTGTTAGAAATTGCAATTTTTTTCAAACCAACAGTAATATTCATCATATAAACACTATAGACAGTTCGGAAAGCTACATGTGTCATCAGTGAGATTATCTTCAATCCACAGAGGCGTGTTATATTCATCCATTATGGTTTATAATAATCTTCCTCAAAATATACAAAGGATGAGTGATAATGTGAAGATTTTTAAATGCACGCTGAAGAGTTTCCTCACAAAAAATGCTTTTTATTCAATAGATGAATATACTTCTGCTAAGCATGTACAACATTTAATAACTGTATTCCTTGGATTTTGTTTATGAATGACAATGTAAATTATGGTTAATTGGTGCTTTTGGTTGTGTGTGGTTGTTTTTGCTGTTGACATGATTGTACTTCTGCAATAAAGTCTTATTTTGACGAGTTCAATATCCGGTCCAATTGGGACAACGGATCAGTGAATTTATGAATTATGTATGTGACTTCTCAGGGGTTACATCTGCTTCTGCCAAGCTGGAGGCTGGAGGATGAAGGAAGCAGGTTCCTCTAAAATGCTAGTAACCACCTCCAAAACTAACTGCATAGTGTTAAAACCCAGAACACTACTGAATATTATTGCAACTATTTATTTATTTATTAATTTCTGATCTAGACACTTTTATTGTAATGAATCTCATTACTTGCTGATTTTGCAAGATCCTGTATTTTTATTGCTAGTCATGTATTTTTATATAAGATTTTACTTGGCAAAGGAGATATAGTTTAAGCCTTTATAAGTGATAATTTTAAATAAGTGATTCAGAAATGTAAGTCATTCCATAGAAAACATTCTGTGTAGCTCAGACCCATCAAATGATGATGCATTAGTATTAGTTTCCATTCCTGCAGAATACACTGTGTTCAGTCCAGTGACAAATTTTTGTTGTAAAATAAAGAACCACTAATTTTACACAATGTAATCAACCCTTTTCTTCCTGAGTCTCTCTTTTTTGGCTTCTTTAGAAAAATGCATGAAAGGCTGTAGATGTATGTATGTAAGTGAACATAAACCGAACCTAATCTAATCAATCAGTATATGACAAAGAATGTATATGAACATCTGTACCAAGGAAATGATTGAAATTATTTATGACTCTGTGAATATCATATCACTGCCATTTTTTATCCTTCAAAAGTTTTGCATCATAAATTCCACAAGAGTTTCAGGCATGCTGACCCATACTGTCAAAATCTGGCACTAAGAAATTTCACAGTAATATGGTATTCCATGGTACATGGTATCGAAACTGTCAAGATGTCCTGTGATAGTGTTGTTTGTCAATTTACTGTAACATTTTTCATCTCTTTAGATAAATGTGCTTGGAGTAAGTGTATTTTTATCAATGTAAGTCTATAGAACAGTGCATGATATTTTAGTAGGCTTACTAACAATTGTAATGCCATACAAATGCAATTATACCACATGAATTGTGATTTTTTAATTCGTTGATATACATGTATATATGAATGTAAAAAGAAGATTAAAATGTTTTTTTTTGTCATTTAATAGAATTTAACAACAGATAATAGGAAATACAAGTCATTACCTCTGCATGATTTAAATTTGAATTAGGACAGGTGTACGATTAGTCCACTGTGTCAGATAAGATTCTACATGATCTGAGATACTGGCAACTGATAATCATACTTAAATCTCAATAAACTTAGGCACATTGGATTTATACGATGTCTATAATTGGGTTTATAGATATTTTACATAAAACTAGAACAATCTTAACACATGATGAACTGTACATGCTATTGGTCATCCTCCTCCTATTCATTGACATGAGAAATTTAAATTCAAATAGTCACAGTGTGAGTAAAATCCAGCCTGTAAGATAGTTGCTATACCGACTAAGCCATCCTGGCTCTATACAATCTGAGAAACTGAAAGCATCATTAAATAAATGAATAATAAATATTGCACTTATCTTGATGACTGTTTACTAAACATGAACAAATATCCTACATAAAAGGTAGAGACAAATAATTTTTCTTTATGTTTCATCTGTTCGGTTTGGGTATGTTGCTGCTGGTCCTCATCAGCACAGTAATACTTGGTACTGGATCCTGCAGGGCTCATGACCACATTTTTTTGTCTCATGACTCTGAGAGTTGTGTGACAACTGTTAGTTCTCTCTCGCTTAAGCGCACGCACGCGCACACACACACACACACACACACACAACATTCTTTCGGCGATGTTGGGAAAATTGCCGCTGGTTCTCGTCAGCACATGAGTTTTCTGTTTTTTCTCTTTCCTACAGCAGACCTAATAGAGAATGCACAAAGGCAATGCGTTATTTACCCCATTCCTTTGCCAGTATACACCCGGAAGGTAAAAGAAATGAAGTTGTCCCTGTGCTTAATTAATTAGGCACCACGAGATGAAGAAATAGGTTAGCAGAGGTATAGTTCCACCTCAGCACTGGATGGATGGGACTGGCCAATTTCAACCCCTGTAGCCATACTCCCAAGGTAAGAACCCTGGTACCGATTGTATAGGGGACTGAGTGGGCCCCAGAGCCGGTATGGACGCTGTGGAGAAAAGTCTCTTGCCCCTGCCATGAATCGAACCCCGATTCCTCGGCCATCTACTCCACAGCCCGTCACTATACCGACTGAGTTATCTCGACTCTATATACATCCCATAGACATAGACATTAAAATAACAGAAACATCACAACACGTATGTATCGGCAAGGCTTACACGAATCTTCAGTTATGACAAAATCGTTATGTATTAGGTTTGAAACCATACACGAATATCAGTTCTTATAATAAAATAAATGTTTTTAGTTATAACAATTACGAGGGGGTACCCAAAAGAAACCGAACTTATTTTTTTAAAACTTATTTATTCAAATTTTAAGCACAAACCTTCAGTCCCTTTCAAAGTACTCTCCACTTACACTAATACACTTGTCTAGTCTTTTATTCCATTTTTCAAAACATTGTCTAAATTCATCTTTTGAGATGCTTGACAGCGCCTCCGTCGTTTTTTTCCTTCACCTCAGCAACATCAGCAAAACGCTGAAAAAAAGTTTTGATCATTTCGGGACTCTTCTTTCAAAGCACAGCATGCTTCCACGCGACCTTGTTTTTGTTCAGCAGTCGTGGCACGAATTTCGCAAGCCACCCTTTTCATTCCCAAATCTTCTGTCAAAATTCGTTGAACTGAGCTCCAAGTCACTCCCGACAGCTCCACAATTTCTTCAATGGTCCGTCGTCGATCTTCCTTGATGATTTCACTATTTTTTTCAACATTTTCATGTGTTCGGGCCATTGCAAAAACGACGATCATACAGAACAGCTGTCACTATAAACTCTGCCGAAACTAGTCCTTACCTTCTGAAGCAACGGTAGTCGGCTTATCGACTCAGGAATGTTAGCTCTATGCGCTCATAGCGGCAAAACGCGATACTACAAAAGCTCTGCCCACAAAAAAAAAATAGTTCGGTTTCTTTTGGGTACCCCATCGTATATATTTAATTTTTATGGAAGTCTTAAAATGTTTCAAAGGGCACACCAATCCGGAGAGAGGGACTAGTTCTATCGATTGTGCCAAACTGGGTAGGTTTTACCTGAAGACCGAGACAAAATTCAATCTCCGAAACGTTTTGGAATATAAACAGGGCGGTGTTTTGAATAAAAACAGGACGAGGGATAATGTTCAGAAAACCAGAAGAGATGTACATCAAGGTAAATCTAGGTCTTGAAATAATGTTATAAAGCTCGAAAAGAATGGGCTGTTGCTATGGATGGAAATCGTTGGGTCTTTCATATCCTAGATGTTTCAGCCTAAAATCTTTCTCGGATATAGAGGCTGGAGACCTATATGTTGCGCTTCAACAAGTCGAGGCAGATAAGGAATTGTGCGTGATTTAATTAACGGAACAGAAAAATATGTGTCAGCGCTAGAATTTAGGACAATAAATCAAACTTCGGCTTCCAAACAGAAAGCAGCAGGATCCGAAGCACATTTCAAGAACCCAAATAAGAAATTAGCATCTAAAATGAAGGTCATGGTTCTAAAGCAAAATCGAACAGCGAAGTACAGATTCGAGAGAGGTCCAAGTCTACTGAAAAAGTACAAACATGGAACTTAGAATACAGAAGACGAAGAGGTCTATCTTCTGGGATATAACGCCGTGTAGTCCTGTGAAAGCCAAGTGACGTTTCGGAGGTCTGACAAAGAAGCAGTCTAAAGCATTAGCAAAAGAAGTATTTCGGGCACTCCAGATACCATGCTCCTGGTGGCATTCACGAGGAAATGTAACCGAAAGTGAGTATTCTGCAGTTCCACTCCTTCGCCTGCACGAAGACGTGTCGCACAATTATTAGTGACTAATGTATTAATATTCGTGCATTTCATGTTACGAACTAAGGCATGAATTCATGGATATTTTTCAGAAAATGAACTGTATATACTCGTATGAGTACTACTCAGATACTAGCTTCAACACTGCAGACCCTACATAGGTTTACTGGCATATAAAATACAACAGATGACGGAATATATTAATAGATTTACGCTAAACACATGTGTCTGGTGTTTAGGCATTCGCTCTATCGATCGCCAAACGTCGCAACACACAACGCCGATCGTAATACGTGTAATTTTCATTCAGGCGCCCACGTTGCCAGGAGGTGGATAAGAAAGGGTACAGAACATTTCCACAAGCGCACCCTTAACGTCATTATAAAACTTCACGAGAGTTGTTTCATCACACAAGCACATCCATGTGGAGAAAACTATATATATGAAGAATTGTAACAGCAAGTTCCTAGGTGAAAAGTAAGTACCACATTATGTACTATTATGGGCGAAGCAAGAATTATTTTCCTGATGGAGGGCATAAAAATTTCGCAGTCGAGTTAGTCAGTTTTCGAAGGACAGCAGCGAGAAATCGTACTCACAAACTTATAATAAGCCGTTTAAGACCATCTTTAGTAATACAGAAAGTGCAATGTTTATTACTGATACTTGATACACTTCCATCTTTTATTCATTTTTGATTTTTTGGAAACTCCAAGAGCGGAAGATGCCTAGTCCCCCTCCCCGGCGCCCATGCATGATCATTAATATATTTAAAAAAATGATTTGAGGATGACGTTTCTGATATTTGTACCTTATTCGTCTTATTGGTTGGGAAGTTGAAAAATTGTCTTTAATCAGAACAAATTAATGCTGGCAAGTTGATCACAGAGAAGTTCAAGATATTTAAAGAAAAACACCTCAGAATACTGTCATATTACACCAAATGTAAATATCAGAAATGTTAAACAACATTAAGGTCCATAATTTCCGTTCAGAATTAATTTCTAGACGTTTGGTAGGACTTTCTGGAAGGGGGGGGTCACTCAATGGCATCCATCTGCACAGAATTATATTAACAGGAAAATAAAAGGCGGACATACAAATACGCCGAGGGTGAGGTTCGCGACGCCATTGTTGCAGCATTCGAAGGCATTACAACCTTCAGACCACGCGGCCACTGAGCTATGGTTTAGCGTATTCATGGGGCGAATATGAAAAATTAATATAGGCCTTCTGGTTAAATCTGGCTGAGAAATTTAGACCGGGTGGGGGAAAGTACACAGAGCTCTGATGGGAAACTTGGGGGGCGGGGGCTGAAACGATCACTGTGGAAGTAAAAGTAAAAAAAGTAAAGCTATCCCTGTACCAGGCCGTGAAGGCCCATAGGGTTGTGAGATGTTGAGGCTCCCACATTATCTAGACAATCGGCTCAAAGATGGCGGTAAGGTTGTCAATCTTAAGCGCCGGCCGCGCTTTACTCCCCAGGAAACTTATTTAATTAATTCCTGGTACACATTTCTGTTAGAGGCTGAGTGAACCCCAGGGCCATAGTGCGGCTGGAAGGATTAGGTCAATTGGAAAAAATCCAATTACTTCATCGGGACTTGAACCCGCGACCTTCCGACTTGTAGCATAGGCCCTCAACCAAACACGCTACCGCGTACCCCTGGTCGCTGTGGACGTGAGAACTTAAAGACGATAATACGAGTATTAAAACTGGTCTCAGAAAATGAGGTTGAAGTGAGAAAAACAGATGCAATTTGCCTCAGGGTAGGCTCGAAGAGCATAGCGAAACCTTGTAGTTTAGCAGAAGGAGAGGTAATAATCAGTCACTTAGTTGTTTAATTAAATTTAATTTAACCGAATGTCGTGGCCGAGTGGGTAGCATATCCTACTTCGTATTCGGGAGGCCCCGTGTTTCGTCAAGAAGCCCGGAAACCCTGACTGGAGCTGCTAATTATTCTCACAGTCCCTTCAGGCAAATTCCGGTTAATGCCTCAAACTAGGCCACGACAGCTTCTTTCCATATCATCTATTCTGTAGCCTTTAGTCCGCAAGCGAACTATACCGACCGAACGACCGCCGTTTGTCGGCGAAGTTAGTGCCATCTTTTACGGATAGAGGATGTCGCGTGGTCAGCGCGACGGATTCCCACGGCCGTTAATTTCGGTCTTATAGACCGGAGCCGCTACTTTTCCATTCAAGTAGCTCCTCAATTATCCTCACGAGGCTGGGTGGACCCCGTTCTAGACCCACTACTTCACAGAAAAACTGGTAGCGCCGGGAATCGAAGCCGGGACCTTTGGATCTGTAGGCAGGAACTCTTACCACGAGACCACAGAGGCGGTCTTCCAGATCATCTACATTTCGTTATTTAGTAATCATCCTGCAATTCGAAACTCTACAGTCTAAGCTATAGTTCTCTGTCACATAACTTAATTAACTCTGTTCCGTTACACAGTTCCCTTTCGTTTTCCTTCCAATGTCAAATATATCGCAAAGTGGAAACGTATCTGCTTTCTGTATGTTTTAAGTTCCTAACACCAATTAGGCCACTGCACAAATTATACTTAATTTTCGTTTATGTATGCGTTGGTGGTGAAAGTTGTCTTTCCCCGCTTCTTGCCAATTGATCGGGACTATGTTCCTCGCACAACATGTTACAATCGATGTGGCCCTCACACTAAACGTCGGTCCCTTTCGTGGGAGGAGGGCGATAACGGGTCGAAAACAGGAGACGATCAGGTAAGGTAAAGCTATCCCTGTAAGAGGCCGTGAAGGCCCATAGGACTGCGAGTCCAACTGGGTCCACTCTCCAACTGGGTCCACTGATTGGACTATTGTACCTGCCCGGGTGATTATGATGATGGAGAATTTGGTGGAATGAAGATTGGCAGGGGAAACCGAAGTACTTGGAGAAAACCCGCCCCAGCGCCACTTCGTCCACCACAAATCACACTTGACCAGACCTGGTATCGAACCCGGCCCGCCGCGGTGGGAAGCCAGCGACTAACCGCTTGAGCTACCGCGCGGCCTTCGAGGCTCCCATACTTTACAGACAATCGGCTCACAAATGGCGGTGAGGTCAGTCTTAAGCGCCTGCCACCCTTTATTTCCAGGAAGATTCCTAGTATTCATTTCTGTCAGAGGCTGAGTCGAACCCAGGGCCATAGTCTTTCTCCGGTCCGAGTTCCTTGGGACTCATGACCATCTTTTACTGTCTCAGATTTGAGACTTCCTTTTTCATCACCTCCTATGGCTTGCAGAGTCACGGTGGAGGTATTCAACCCCGCCTCCACATGGGTGTAACTCAAATGACCAACTTTGTCCCTTTATAAGCCCTTGGCATGGACCACACAGCAAAACACAGCATCTCTATTGTTGAGAAGGCTTGTTTACTGATCCGTTACCTAGCAATGGATGTCCTATTGTTGGCCCCAGTGGGAATGCGTTTACCGAGTCGTTGCTTAGCAATAGGTCTATACGTCTATTCATACAGGCTGGTTCAGCCATTCAAAAGTTGATGGGGGGGGATACACATACACAGAGAGCATGGTGATCATATAAGCCTAATTATGTTTTTTCAAAATATGGACAGTAGGCTAAAAATTGTTCTACAAATTACTAGTGTGTTAATGTATTTTGTTTCAGCCATGTTTGCTGCTAGGTGAGTGCTAGTCTTAATTAAAGACATGAACACGTACCGCCTGGAGGCCAAAACTCCATTCAAGCCGGATCACGTAAATCAAGTGATTCGCACCCTCATTGACAATGAGCTGGATGGTGTAAAATATGACCCTGAAACTTGTGCCAGGCTGTGTCTGACCTTGTCTGCAGAACTGCGATCCAGGGTCAAGGTCCTGGGGTATGATCGGTGAGTAGATTATTCTCATTTTTGGAGAAATAAAAGTAATTCCATTCCTTCCATATCTAAAAAATCACCATCTATACTGTCATCTCTTTCTTAGCTTGTAATGGAGAAATCACTGTCATTGCTAGAATAATTTTCAGAATCTCTTCCCACCATCAAATATGATTAGAATTTTTCTGTCAAATGACCCCTGACATGAGGCTTGAACTTAGTTTGCACATTTTCCATAATTAAAGTTAACATATTTGGATAAGAAAAGGTGCTGGAGGCTCTTTCTTTAGAGACAAAACAGCCGTAGTATGAAGCTGACCCCTCACCTCCAACTACTGCCGAAGATAGTTTTTTTTGGAGTAGGGTGAGACTGAGTCCACTTGGTATGTCAGCCACTAACGGGTCTATTGTACCAGCCCCAGATGATAAATGATGAGTGTGGAGCAGTCAGTGGATTGCGAATTGGCAGGAGAAACTGAAGTACTCTAAGAAAACCTGCCTCAGTGCCACTTTGTCCACCACAAATCCCACATGACCTGACCTGTGCTCGAACCCAGCCCACTGTGATGGGAAGCCAGCAACTATCTGCCTGAGCTATGGTACGGCCTACTGTCAAAGATAAGAATACCACATAATTTTATCTCCAGTCTCCCTAGAAGCTTTCATGACACTGTTTCTTAATCAGTTATTTAATGATGCCGTCAGTCCTGTGATAATATACATGTAGCATCAGTGACAGGATGACCAATGAATGTGGAGCAGTTGATAGAATAAGTATTAGCAGGGGAAACTGAAGTTCTCAGAGAAAATCTGCCTCAATGCCACTTTGTCCACCACAAATCCCACATGACCTGACCTGGTCTGCTGCAATGGGAAGCTGGCAAATAATTGCCTGTACTGTGGCATGGCCTTCATGGCATGGTTATTATGGATAAGGGCTAGTATACTTTTTGTGTATGTTACAGGTGCAAACTAGTGTGCACAGTGGAAATTGGAGAGAAGTGTTCACAGAGTGTGTGTTCTGTGGTCAGGTTCCTCTGGGATGTTGATCGTGACAATTATGCTTTCTACACATATGAAAACACACATATCTATGCAGTGGCATGTGTGTATGGTGTGTACTATGAATGAAACTTCATGCTTATTCAACAGTCAGTGAATTATTTCAAATTACATTTATCTATAAATATATCAACACAATTTTTATATAAAATAATATATATTATATTCGGATATTAACATTTATAATTTCATTTACTTTATATTAAATGTTATCATCAAACAAATTTATAAATACTTTTTTATGTTTTACTAATTACTGTAAATATTTCATTTCACATGTACAGAAGTAACTAATTTCTTGTACAGCACTGTCCCTGAAATATCTCGCAATTCCATCATGAATGGAAACATTCCTAATGCTATTATGCACATGTGTGCAGAATGACAAACTGGTAACGTCGCGGAAACTCCCTATTCGTTCTTGCCAAATGCCAAGCGATATGAATCCTATTACTGCCATTTTCTTTACATCACAATATGGTGTCCTACTGAATTCTGATATCAGACCCGTTTTCCAATTAAACACCTACACAGATCATCATACTTAAATGAGAAATTGAATTCTAAATTCCTATGCTCTTTCTACTACACACAGTATAAAGATACAACAGGAAATTTTAACATTTTCTGGCTACATTGCAATGTCAGTCACATAACAAAGAGATATAAAGCTACTGCAATAATGTCTTATTCCTATATAAGAAATCAAATTGTTGGGGCTGTCTTTCGTACAGATGGAATTGTTACTTTGGTTTTTATAAAACATCTATGATTATCTTATTACAAAACTCATGTCAACTGTAGTTATTTTCGTAAGAGCAACATTATGCATTGTTATTTGAATATCTCCCTTCACATGAAATATCAACTTCTGCTGTCACATTCTAGACATGGCTCAATGTGTATCACAGACATGCAACAGCATATGCCTATATGAAGGGACCATGTTTCATTTAGTATACAGCAAATCAGTTCACTGTGTAAAAATAAAACATCTGACCTTATACTACAAGCTCTTACATGATTTAACAGTGCATATAAGGAAGAATCAGAGCATTAAATTAGATATAAGGATGAGAACAGGAAGAATATAGAAGGATGTACTTTGGCTAATTAAGGGGTATCACTCTAGGACTTCAATTTAACACAAATTATACACTGAAGGATTCAGTTCTGTAATCTGGATGAAC